CAGTTTTTCCACTCCTGTGCCTTTTTAAAGTTGCGTGGTTTACACCCCCAAAATCCCCCCACCCAGGAAGGGGGGGTTGGGGAATTCTGGGAGTTGAAGTCCAGACATCTTCAAGTGGCCAAGGTTGAGAAACACTGGTCTACCTGCACAGCGCCTGCGGGCGGAATAAGCGCGCGGCCCCTTTAAGGCGGCGCAGTTCCGGGGAAGCGGAAGCGGCAGGAGATACTCGGCGTTCGGAATCGAACGTTGGGAGCGGGCGGGCGCGCTGCTATTGGCCGCGCGGGGAGAGGGGCGGAGCTTCTCGCTGCCGTTCCGTGTCGGACCGAGACCCCTGCGCGCTTCGCTGCGGGCGGTTGAGGGTCGGCGGGCGCCGCTCCGGAAGGTACGCTCGGGGGTCTTGGGGGGGGTCTGGTCTTGCAAGGAAAAGACGGGGGTCTTGGAAGAGGAGGGGTCTTGGGAATGGAGGCGGTCTTGGAGGGTCGGGGGTCGGGCGGGGAAGGGTCTTCTCGGCTGGGCTCAAAAGCCGCCTTGAAATGAGGAAGGGCTGGAAGTCTGCGGGATTTCCCATCTCCAGACCTGCCTCTGTTGGTTTAATGTCCGGGAAGCTGCGCACGTCTACGTGCTCCGGGCCCTTCAGCCCCAGGTCAGAGTCCTCCTCCAAGGAGCCTCGGGGCTAAAGAGGGGCTTGGCCCGCGAGGAGACTGCTGGGGGCCGCTTTGTAACGTGGGGGGGGATCCCTTTGGTGGAGAGGAGGGGGCTGAGGTGCCAGGGCCCTTTGAAGACAACCGACAGGGGGGTTCCTTTCAAAGCCTTCCCCTTGGGTCTCTTCTTAACGTAAACCGGCCGTCTCTGCAGGGTTGGCGTGCCTTGTTTGCTCTGCAAACTGTCCTCTCCTCTGTCTTGGCACCTGCTCCCCCCCCCAAAAAAAAAAACTATAGGTCCCAAATGCTGGCTCTTCCCCAGGCGTCAGGGCCAGTGGAGCCCAATTGAGGGGTTTTTCTGTTATGGGTCAGTTATGCAACGTCTAGATGATTGCATTATTATTTTTCACCTTTTGTTCAGCTTAGGGGGTCATACTGTGCGGTGTTTTCCTTGCGCGCTGGTTGTTAGCCGCCCAGAATTCTTTCGCACTGGCAGCTGTGGGCATTTCCTAAATAAACACATTTTTCTAGTAACCACAAAGGCCTGGGCGGATTGGAATTTGCAGCCTCTGCTAAGGTCTCTAGCGTGACACCTCCTATTATAGCTTTTCACAAAAAGGGGGGGGGGAAATCTGCCTCCTGGCTTGCTAAGGCAACTCAATTCCGTGCTGCATCGCCCCCCGTTCATTTTTGGATTCCACTTTAGGGTCCCTGATATCACCATCCCACCGACCCATTTTGTACCACGGATCTAATTTCCTGCNAGATGTCCGGACTTCAACTCCCAGAATTCCCCAGCCAGCAAATGCTGGCTGGGGAATTCTGGGAGTTGAAGTCTGGACATCTTCAAGTTGCCAAGCTTGAGAAACACTGTCATAGAGTCATATTTCTATATTTCTATTCTATTTCTATTCCTTGTATTAATTCTTATCCTATCCTCAATTCTATTCTGTTCTATACTCTACTCTATTTTCTATTCTATATTCTATTAATTCTTATTCTATTCTATCCCTACCCCTACCCTTCTCCTTCAATGTCCATTAAAATATAGGATCCCTCGCAGAGCCTCCCCTCCCCAAAGATTCTCTAATCCGTCCCTGAACATGCACAGAGAGGAAGCACCATTCAAAACAACCGTTTCTGTCTCAAGGAATGCACAAGTCTGAAATGTTATGACGCCCGATCCCTCGTCCACGCCAGGCGCACAGGAGCCAGCCAGGGAGATCAAGTGTCCAGAGAGCCTGGCTCTCCTCCCCCTCCCTGAGTGACGTCACTATACATAAGCAGGGTTCCTGCCGTCACTCGAGAAGCATTCCTGACCTCCGGGATATCTCAAGGCAGGCGTGCCTTCCCCCCCCCTCCCTCCCCACTCCCCAAATGTGGCTCCCTGCTAATTATAATTCTGATATCAGCCCCGTAAACTCTGCAAGAGGAAATGAGCTGGGCAATTGAGAAACATGGAAACTCTGAGGAAGGTGGAAAGGAACGTGGAAGGTGGAAAGGAACATGGAAACTCTGAGGAAGGTGGAAAGGAAGGTGGAAAGGAACGTGGAGGGAGGGAGGTGCGACTGTAGGAAACAGGAGGAACCTTCAGTAAATGAATTGTGCAAGATTTCATAATATTTTGGGGTTGAGTGGCAACAAGCCAGCAAGGCCTCCAGACGTTTGTGAACGCGCCCAACACTGGAAGTTTTTCAAGAAGAGATTGGATAACCGTTTGTCTGAGACGGTGTAGGGTTTCCTGCCTGGGCAGGGGGTTGGACTAGAAGACCTCCGAGGTCCCTTCCAACTCTGTTGTCCTGTTCTATTCCAAAAGGTGATCTATTTCATATCTTCCATTGGGGATTGGGGATGTATACATTTAATAAATGACTCTTATAATGATTAAAACATGATGATTTTTTTTTCATTTTAGGCAAACTTTCCTTGTGGTCACCCCAACAATTGGCGGATATTATCTTTTATGGATTTTGTGGAACCATTTGTGAATATTTGCTTTCTTTCGGAAAGAAAGAGCCTATATCCCACCCCCTCCCCTAATGAAGGGGCTTCTCCGAATTCCATCCGCCGGCCAATGCCGACTGGCGACTACCTGGAGGAGAGCCTTCTCTGTGGCTGGAACGAGCTCTCCCCGTGGAGATTCGAACCCTCACCACCCTCCAGACCTTCCGCAAAGCCCTTAAAACCTGGCTGTTCCGACAGGCCTGGGGCTAAAGAGCTTTTTGCCCAGCTCATTTCCTCTTGCAGAGTTTACGG